TGCTTAGCTTTTTTATTCTTCGCAGAAAAAAGAAAAAAACCATGGGAAACTGTTGTGAATTCTGTCGCACTGGGTCAGAAAAAGGGCATTCTCTGTCGCGTACGGTCGATCGCATGTTCACGAACTTTTTCACCTCTGTGTATACTCTTATCCCTCGCCGGCACAGGCCATTTTGAGTCCTTCGACGGCACAAGGGGGGGGGGGGGTACGACCCCCCCCCCCTCGCGTTTGGCCCCTGATCGAGCTAGAGCTTCGCGGAAAAAACGAGCGTGTTGCCCGTCACGAGAGGAAGCCGATGATACCCAATTGTAAGGTCCTAGGTCATCGGGTGACCTTCCAGGTCAGGTCAATGACCCGAAAACCGGGAAAATCGGGACCTGTTAGAAAGTCGTAAAGTGCGGCTGCTATGTGGTTTTCCGGGGTGCTGATCACGAATATCGTGTTAGTTTTCATCAGAGATGATGTCTTTAAGCATTTAGACCAGGTCGGGTCAGGTCAGGTCAGTTCAACCGGTAGGGGTTGTGACGGGTATTCGTAATACGTGTCAACCGCCTCGGACAGCTTCGTAACATGTTACGAAGGCACCAAAACTACTTCGTAAATGTTCAAATGGTTGCTAAATTCGAATTCAGCTCCAAAAACTAGCCTAGAAACATGTAAAACTCGAAAAAGTGAACCGAGGTCACCCGAGGTCACCAAAGGTCAATGACCTGACCTGATCTTCAGGTGACCTTGACACCCACCCTAATGCATGGGAGCAACATCAAATCACATGTTTGAACGTTTGAAACCACGAAAAGCTTGCAAACGCGCGGCTAATGCGAGCCGACATGCGCCGAACCGCGATTTCGGCCAAACATGGTCACAGAAAAGAGGTCACAGGTCAAAGGTCATTGGGGTCAGGGTCATGAAATTTTCAGGGTAGGTGTAAAATTGATTAACCCTCGCCCTGGCAGGGCCTTTTTCATAACACGGCCTGGCAGGGGGGGGGGGTCGATGCGACCCCCCCCCTCGCGATTGGCTCCTATGGCACCTAGAAACACCAAATTTGGTAGGTAGGTGGGCCCCATGGAGTTCTCGCCCCTGTACAAATTTGGTTGTTCTAGGTCAATATTTAGGGGGGTTTTGGGGGGTATAAATGTAAAAATTTCGCTAAAAACAGGTCAAAAGTTTTTCGCTTATAACTTTTGATCTAATTAAGATAGAGCAAAAAGAAAAACACCAGTGAACTCAGCACGTCAAGGCGCGTCGAATGATATACTTTTTAGCTTGCTTAAGTGTACTTAAAGTTTTTCTTAATTTTTAAGTAAACTTTAATTAACTAATTAAGTTCAAATTAACCAAATTGCATCATATCGCATATCATTCGATTCGGCTGATCACCAGGAACACAATGACACCATTTTTTAAGCTCTAGCGTCATTATGTGCCAAGTTATTGGAAAAAATGTGATTTGACCTCAGTTGACCTCATTTGACCTGACCCATGGATAAGTACACCAAACAAAGAAGCACCAAGTGACCTGCTGTTAAGTACTGTGGTTTCAAAGCACAAAAGTGATAGAACGAAGCGGATATCTCCAGTATTTTCCGAATTTAGTATTTTCCCATAGGCTTACCATTATGACGCAATGACCTCTAACTGACCTCAGGTCAGTGACCTCAAAAAACCCGAACTATATGTTATACAACTCGGTGAACTTAGCACATCCTGAAAGTTTGAAGGAAATCAGTCGAAAACTGTGAGTTGTACAGGTGCAAAAAGAAAGTTGAAATTTGACCATGACCTTGTACCGGTTTTTCTGACCTGGTGACCTGACCCAAGGTCACCCGGACCTGAAATTTTCAGGTCATATGTAAAAAGGTTGCCCCATAGGCTGTGCCAAATTTGGCGGCGCTGCGCGCCGCCGTTTTTACGCTATCTTCGAAAAACCTTAGGGGGGGTCGCATCGACCCCCCCCCCCTGCCAGGGCGAGGGTTAATGCGAGGGTACTGAAAGTTTCGTCGCGATCGGCCGCTTTTTACGCGAGTTATTTGCGAAAAACCTTAGGGGGGGTTGCATCAACCCCCCCTGTGCCGGCGAGGGTTATTATTTATTATTTATAATTTTTATGGCTGTTTATAGAGACACAAAACAATTTATTGCCACTTCTTTGCTATTGACGTCACTTAAAACTCAAATAAAATTTTTGATTGAAAGAGGCAATTGTGGCTCGCACGTTGAAGGAGTCAGAAGGAGAATGCGCACGCGCGTATTATTTATATATGAATACGTGAGACAACGATGGATAATACACTTTGGATCGAACCTCACGACTGTATATATCCTACATGGCGCGGTCGGTAGGACCCGTAGTAACGAATATGTAAACCTAAGCATAATTTTATAGTTAGGTTTGTTCTCGTGATATCCGGCGGCGCATTGAACGAAAGCGCAAATGGCGAGCAGTGAATCTGGTATGAGGCTCCGACTCTACGAGAGAATATCAGTCGCCGGACGGAGACGAGGCTTCTGATTCCACAGACGGTGTGCTGCTCGACAATAATGCGACGTCTGGTAGTTCGGTCGATGTCAGCCAGCTGCTCGCAATGATGCAGCAGCAACAAGCTGCACTTCTAACTATGATGCAAGAGCAGCAGCGAATGATGCAGGCGCAGAACGCGCAGCTGCTGGCGCAGCAGCACAGTCAGGCAAGCAGTGTGCCATCACAGACAAGCGAAGCTGGCAATAGGGCCTCGAACATGCCAGCAAAACTCCCAGCATCATCTCTGCCAGAGAAAGCGGCATACTCTATGTCAATGCAACAATGGCGAATTTGGCGACGTGACAATGGAGCAGTATGCGAAGATAGCGGGCTGGGACGATTGCGTCACGGTGATCGGCCTACGGATGCAGTGCGATGATAAAATGAAGAGAGTGATCGAGGCAGAGTACGGTGATGGCTGGGAAAACATGTCAGTCGATGATGCAATGACGGCACTTGAAGACATCATAAAGAAAACGTCGAACCCAGCTAGGGAAAGAGAACTATTTCACCGTCTACAGCAAGTGCCAGGAGAGTCCGGCAAAGCATTCGTTCACAGATGCGAACAACAGGCACTCGAGTGCGACCTCGCATGCCATCACTGTGCCAGGGATATCAGCGAGTGGTGCGTCCGGGATCGCGTGTTGGCTGGTCTCAGTAGTGACGCAGTGAAACTTGATCTATATCAGAATATAGACAAATACCCGTCCCTGGGCAGTCCCATGACCAAGATAGAGATGTTTGAGTCTGCCCGTTCCGGATGCTCTCCTGATGTTGGCAGTGTTGCGATCACTGCTGGGCTGGAGTCCAGTGATGCGGTTGAGACAGCGGCAGGAGACGACACACTGCTAGCGGCTCTGAAGTCCACGTACAAAAAGTCCAGGGCCACACAAAGACACGGACCGGCTAACTTCAGACAGAGGACAGAGACTTCAGACCCTCGTAACAATGGCACACGCAACAAGGACCGTCTGAAAGGCATCAAGTGCTCCAACTGCGGTGGGATCGGTCACAAAAAAGCACGGTGCCCCAGCGTACCCCAGACGTTCGCCAACAACCATGGTGACACAGAAGGCGAACTAGGACAGTCTCAGGTCGTAAGCCCCGTCACGACAGAAGAGTTCCAGTTGTACAGCGTGCATGAGCCCAGAAGTAAACTGGAAGAGGTCAATCTGTTCGTGAAACATGCAAAATGCAGCTCACCACGGAGGTGTCCTGCGTTGGCGGACACAGGTGTTGAGTGCTGCGTTGCAGGGCAGCTGCAGATGGATACCATGGGACTCAGACGGGCAGATCTTGACAGAACAGACGGCAAGATACGGCATGCAGGGGGAGGTGCCTTGATAATTCTAGGTTCTAAGCTGTGTACTCTTCAGCTGGCAGATGTGAAGACGGTGCAACGGGTCTTTTTCATTCAAGGCGTGGAACGGCTGTTCTTGTCCGTTGGTGCATGCAAGGCACTCGGTCTTGTGCACAAGAATTTTCCGCACCACACAGTGAGCCCGGGTCGCGAGGAAACGTTGAATAGCATCCGGAGTCCGCAGGCCACGAGCAAACCCTCGGACAGAGTACCGGAGCGCCCTGATCGGTTACCGGTCTCACCCACCGAAGAAAACATTCCTAAGCTAGAGGAGTTTCTGAGGCAAAAGTTTGCCAGCTCAACTTTCAACAGGGAAGGTGCGCCTCTACCTGAAATGGACGGACCGCCTCACACCATCCACCTGACAGCGGACGCCTCACACCTCACGCTCGTCACTCCCCTATTCCAATCAGCAAACACTGGGAGGCGGAGGTGAAGGCACAGCTTGATGAAGATGAAAGGATTGGTGTTATTGAAAAAGTACCCACTGGCGAACCCTCGGTATGGTGCGCACAAATGGTCGTCGTCCCAAAAGCTAACGGCAAACCACGGCGGACTGTCGACTACCAAGAACTCAACAAGTACTGCATCCGTGAGACTCATCATACCCGGGTACCATTTGACATGGTATCATCGGTCCCGCAGCACACGTATAAGACAACTCTAGACGCCTTTTGGGGCTTTCATCAAGTGCCCCTTGCGGTGGAGAGTAGAGCTCTGACAACATTTATCACACCATGGGGTCGGTATCGGTATCTGCGAACGCCGATGGGTCACGTATCGGCGTCTGACGCGTACACAAGGCGATACGATTACGCAGTAATCGACATAGAACGTAAGTTCAAATGTGTCGACGACGTGCTGCTGTACGACTCCAGTGTAGAACAGGCGTTCTGGCACTGATGGGACTTTCTGGAAACGTGTGGTAAGGCGGGTGTGACGCTGTCGCCGGAAAAGTTCCGATTCTGCAGGAGGGAGGTTGAATTTGTCGGTTTCAACCTAGGATGGAACAGCTATGCGCCGGCGGCTAGTAAACTCGCAGCCATCACACACTTCCCTATGCCAGAAAAGCCTACCATAACCGACATCCGGTCATTTGCTGGGTTAGTGAACCAGATGGCCCCGTTCATGGCCACAGCGCCCATCATGGAACCGTTCAGGGCGCTGCTAAAAGATACGCACAACAAACACGTCTACTGGGATGAGCAGCTCAGGAAGCGGTTCGAGGAGGTGAAGTCGCGTGTCTGTCAGCTGGTAGCCAGTGGACTTCAGTACTACGACAAAGACAAGCCCACGGCTCTCCTTACCGACTGGAGCAGGACAGGAGTCGGGTTTGTTGTCCTGCAACAGCACTGCCAGTGTTCGGGAACGGAGAGACCGTTCTGCTGCAAGGAAGGCTGGAAACTTGCCTTGTGTGGCAGCAGGTACCTAACGTCAGCTGAACAGCGGTACGCAGCCGTAGAAGGCGAGGCGCTAGCAGTTGTCTGGGCGCTGCAAAAGGCACGGCTGTTTCTTCTCGGCTGCCAGAACCTGGAGATCATCACGGACCACAGACCACTCCTGAAACTCTTCTCTGATCGTGAGCTTAAGGACATCACAAACCCACGGTTATTTCGGCTGAAAGAGAAAACACTGCCGTACAGATACGTTATCAGGTTCCAACCTGGCAAGAAAAACGTCATAGAGGACACCCTGTCGCGTTACCCAGTGGAAAGACTGAGCCCGTCAAGGGCTGACTTGAGCCTTGAAGAAGAGCTGAGTGTGGCAGCTTTGGCCGCCATCGAAAGATGCAATGATATTGCAACCATTGACCAGGGCCCTGTTCATGAACCCCGGCGGTCGCTGCGGCCGCTGCGGTCGCTGCGGCCAGCCGGGTTGTTACGTCACAAAAAGGGGCGGGGCTCATGTAGTATGACGAATGTATGACGTCACCTTGCTGCGGCCGCTGCGATCTCTGCGGCCGCAATCCAGCGACCGCCGAGCCGCAAGAAAGTAATTGCACTGAACTTGGCGCACTGAAGTCAAAGTGTAGGCTGTGTTGCCATGGAGACGATGTTATAAACAAATTCATTCCGTCCGGTGTTGCATGCCATGATACCTAAAAATTAGATTAATGCTTTAATATGAGATTTAATTTTAGACTTAAGTTATTTGTGCTACGATTTAATGAAAACAATACCAAATCATTCATGTGACCCACTTACAAAAAAAAAACACCAGACGGCTTTGAGAAACGCCCTTTTCATCACAGGAATGGAATACACAGATAAAAGAAGCGCGTGGAAACTATTGATTAGTAATCGTCTCAAGCGCGCAATTATCGGAAACTATTTCGGCAGCAGACGTGTTCATGGAACGCTGCTGCGGTCGAGTGGGTGATGACGTTTCAAAAACGGGCGGAGCTTAGAGCCTGCGGCCGGCCGCAGCGGCCGCAGGGTTCATGAACAGGGCCCAGAGCACAGTACGTCAGGCCGCCGACACTGATGACACATATCAGTGCATGAAACAGCGGATTAAGGAAGACAGCTGGCCGGAGAGCTGTTCGCAAGAAATTGGTCAACTGAAGGCGTATTTCAAGATACGAGACCGCCTGTGTATGGTAGATGACATGGTTTGTTACGCATACGAAGGTGGTCCACTGAGGCTGGTGATCCCGGCAGACCTCAGGAAAAGCGTCGTGCGGAATCTGCATGCAGCACACCAAGGTGTGGACAGCATGATGCGACGAGCAAGAGAAGCTGTTTACTGGCCCGGGATGGAAGGCGACGTAGAAATGATCCGGCGCCAGTGCTCGGAGTGTGATTATCATGCTCCATCACAACCAGCGGAACCGCTGATCATGACGCCGCATCCGGAGTATCCATTCCAACAAGTGGTGGCTGACCTCTTCGAGGTATCCGGACACAGATACCTGGTATACGCCGACAGACTAACGGGATGGATAAAACTTGACCACCTCCGGTCATTCACGACCGACAAGCTCATGCCCATATTCCAGCGGCACTTCGCGCAGTATGGGGTTCCGGAGCAGATCTCCGTAGATGGTGGAACCAGTCTCGTCAGCGCTGAGATGCGGAGTTTCTTCCAGCGCTGGGCAGTACGCATCCGTCAGTCATCAGCGCATTACCCTCAATCGAATGGTAGGGCGGAGGCTGCTGTCAGAACCGCCAAAATGATAATGCGTGACAATACTGGACCGGCCGCAAGCTTAGCCATGGAGCGTATAACGTCGGCTCTTCTCCAGTATCACAACACACCCCTGAGAGAGGGGGACAAGTCCCCTGCGCAGCTGTTGCTTGGCCGACAGCTCAGAGGTGGAGTGCCAGTAGCCACAAATCACCTCCTGGTCAGGCAATGCTGGAAAGAAGACCTGGACCAGCGAGAGAAGATGATGGCTGAGAAAGCTGAAAGACTGCAGGAAAAGGCTGGAGCAGCTATGCATCTACCGAAGCTGACATTGGGACAGCGCGTCCGTGTCCAGGATGCTGGCACGAAACGCTGGGACGGACAGGGGTAGTCACTAGGATCATCCGTCCCATCCGTCAGTACACCGTGCGATTAGATGGGTCTGGCCGGCTGGTGTTGAGGAACAGGAGATTCCTGCGACCCATCAGTTGGGTCAACGACACGACCCGGGGACTCAGCGACGGACGGCAGCGTCCGGTGTCTCAGACAGACGCCGCTCACACCGCCGCCGCCCCCGCCGCTCTCAGACGCTCTGAACGACTCGCACACCGGAGCCGAGTGATTGCCAACATGAAGGGGGATGAAAGGGAGATGAAGGAGTCAGAAGGAAAATGCGCACGCGCGTATTATTTATTTATGAATACGTGAGACAACGATGGATAATACACTTTGGATCGAACCTCACGACTGTATATATCCTACACACGTCCTTGGTGATTTGAGCGAAGATTGAAGAAAAATGAAAATCAAATTGGAAAAATCAAAATACATGAATGTTTTCCTTTCTTGGATGCTCACTAGTGTTTTGATGCCTTGCATATCAAATTAGTTTGAGACTTGCTCAGAAGGCTGCTTCAAGCCTGGCATATCACACCCCAGAAAAAATGCAAGGTAAGAAAGAAGCAAGAGTTTTGACTAGACAATCACTGTTTGACAGTCCATCAACTTCAGTTTCATTTTCCATAACATTGATAATGAAAAGCATCAGGGTCTGTTGTTCTAACCCACAACCATGCTTCAGGATTTTGCATTAGATGTCTACACTGCTAGTGCTTCTATTCTGGTTCGTTGTTTATGTTTTCTGTTGATGTAGGTACGTACCTACCTACCCATCTTTCTTAACCCCTCGCAAGGGCTTGTGTAGGCATGCGTTGCGCATCAGGCTTCAACACAACCACTTAAAGGGACTATCCCACCTTCAAAAAAAGTCCCGTTGAGGATTCGGAAATGTTACTCAGGGTATTGTGACGAATTCTGCAAGTTATTACGCGTTTTCATACTATACGTTTTGAGATATTGCGACTTTTATATTTCATCGTGACGTCATTTAGATCGGATCTGTGACGTAATGAAGGATTTACTTCATGCCAATGAGGGGGGAAATTTGGCAGCAAATATATTTGCTTTCAAATATGACGCGGCTCATACAATAACAAAAGTGTCTCTGATTAGGCATTTTGCAGTTGGCAATATGATACCTTGATGATACCTAGTCAATGTAAGTTTGTTGGACTTCCTGCACATTGTCGTCAATAATATTTGTGTATATCGCCGAGGCGCCGATTTCAACAGCGCCAACTTATTCGTAAAACAGGTTCTGGCGTTCAAACGGCTGATGACGTCATCAAAGCGCCGTTAATGGTTAAGAGATAGGGCCTTAGCTAAGGCCCACCTTTCAAATAAAGGGAACGAATTTCTTTAACACCACGAAGCTGAGGATATTACGACCAGGATATATAGTGGTTTCTGAACCTGGCCGCCAACTTGGCTATCTCAACTCAGAACTAATGCAAAGGTGGGACAGTCCCTTTAACCTATGATGCTTCATGAGCGTGAGAATCTATAGCCCATTGCAATGCGCTTTTGGCTATATGTTTTAACTAAGCACAACTTATTATATACTATTTGGTTGCATTTCATTTAAAGTATCCACGGCCGGCTGACGGCTGGCTGCCCACGGCCCCACAGTTTGCCACGGCTGTGGGTGGCTGTGGCTGTGGAGCCACGGCTGCGGGGCGGCTAGGCTGTGGAAAACTGCAGCCGTGCAGGACTCTAGGGCTAATGCATTTTAATGTCCCCTTAGACTTTGTAACGTCAGCGCAGATCTACAGATTTTTAAATCTTATACTAAAACCTTTGGTAGAACGTAGTGGTAAACACTGCTTTGCGCGCAACATCTGCCGCACTTTTAGGATGCTAAATTATTGCTTCCAAATGACATCATAGGAGCAGTGGAGGTCCCCACCCCGAAAAAAGAAAGTCTAATATCTCAAAAACTAGTGAATATTTTTCGGTGAAATTTAGCAGGTATTCGTTTTGCTCTTTCTGAACAGAGCGACATCACTTTTATGCCAATTCATTAACTTTTTGAAGAAGGGAGGGTCCCTTTAAATGAACTGGATTAAAAACCAAGTAAATACTTCCAGGTAGGTATTCAGTACACTCTCTGAGGATGTGCTCATCTTAACAGCGGTAGAAAGAGACCACTTGTGATGTTAGCATGGACTAGTGATGTCAATTACGGAAAATCGGAATACCGATACCAAACCAAATACCAACTAAAACCAGGGGAAAATACCGAAACCAAACCAACTTGGGAAGATATGGGAAATACCAACTTTTTACCGATTTCTTAGCCTCGTATACCTACATTAGTAATGGTTTATGATACCAACAAAATACCAAACACATTACGATTAAAATACCAAATACCAAGTTGGTATCGGTTTGGTATCGGTACCCTAAAGTGGGGCTATTTGAGACACTATGGTAGTGGTTTAGTAAAATCGCTGTAAAATGAAAACCGATTGATATTTTTTCGTCATATTTGCTTAGGCCGATGTGGAATTGAACAGTAAATGCCCTGAATAACCTTTTTGACAGTTTCGAAAAGTTTTGAAAGAAATTTGGCATAAAATACAAAACATAGAAAAACGCATAATTTAAGTTGCTCCAAAAGGACCCCTACCTGCAGCTTAGCATAGTTGAAATTTTAACAGCTTCGCCACTGGGTCTATCGTTACTACCGTTTTACCTAAAGGCTAAGCAAATTTTTCATGAAAATAATATATATTGTTAACGCTACTGCCGATTGCGTATCCCATTGTCTGAGCATCTCGATGATGCCCGCCTGGTCAAACCTCAACGGATATGTCAAATAGCTGCTGATAATGGTGATGCGATGCACCCGAGAACACTAACCACCATCTACCTTAACCCTCGCCCTGGCAGGGCATTTTTCATAACACGGCCTGGCAGGGGGGGGGGGGGGTCGATGCGCCCCCCCCTCGCGATTGGCTCCTATGGCACCTAGAAACACCAAATTTGGTAGGTAGGTGGGCCCCCCGGAGTTCTCGCCCCTGTGCAAATTTGGTTGCTCTAGGTCAATATTTAGGGGGGTTTTGGGGGTATAAATGAAAAAAAATCGCTAAAAACAGGTCAAAAGTTTTTCGCTTATAGCTTTTGATCTAATTAACCCTAGAACGCTTAGGGGGGGGGGGGTGTATCAACCCCCCCTGAGTTTTTTTTCGAAGTGCACGCTAAACGGCTTGTCGTAGCGGGCTGAAATTTTCAATACCCTCTGGGGCAACCTTTGCGCATCTTTTGCCGAAAAAAAATTGATCGGGTCATGTCAGGTCATGGAGTTATGACGTCATAAGAGGTACAGCCTCCGGCCGACAGTTACCAAACGTGTGCGCCGAATCCCTAGGTTTTCTGCCGGTGATACCCACATTGTTTGATGGATCATGATGAAACTTCCCATGCATGTTGGGGCAAGCATTGGCTATCGTGTGGTGCAAGAAAATTGACCGGGTCAGGTCAGGTCACGGAGTTATGACGTCATAAGAGGTACAGCCTCCGGCCGGATTTTCACGAAGTGTGTACCGAGTCCCGAGGTTTTCTGCTGATGCTATCCACATTGTTTGATGGATCGTCATGAAACTTCCCATGCATGTTGGGGCAAGTATTGGCCATCGTGTGGTGCAAGAAACTTGACCGGGTCAGGTCAGGTCACGGAGTTATGACGTCATATGTGGTACAGCGTACGCCGCCATTTCTGAGAAGTGAGTGTCTGATAAATGCGCCCCCAGCTTTTTTACGATTGCATGTGGAGTAGTGCATGTATGCTAATAGAACTTTCCAGACATGTTGGGACATCTATTGACTAACTTTTGAAATAAACAAAATGGCCGGGTCATGTCAGATTAGAGAGGTATGACGTCATGAGTGGTCCAACATCCCGTACGGTTATGTGCAGCCGTAAATTATTTGTTTTACAACGATTATATGAGCAATGTCGGTATATTTATCCATGGCTAGCGCTAGTCATTATTACTTTGAGCTTTTGTATTGTGGCTCGAACTTTCAGAGGCCATCGAAGGTCAATGACCTGGGTTGACCTAACTTTGGCCGGCACTTTGTGATTGGAACATTCTCGAAACATCTAGTAGCTCGATGACGAATCGAGAACGGTGACGAGTTTTTATCTTGAGAAGACACGATTCGCAAAAAAAAAAATCAGGACAGAGGTTTCCAGAACATTCGGGAATATTCGGGAACATTCGAGAAGGTCATGCCGCCGGGCGGTGATTGGCTGCTTCCCGCGAGTGGGCGGCAGTCTTGGGCATTCCAGAACATTTGGGAACATGGAACATTCGGGAACATTCGGGAAAATCATGCCGGCGGGCGGTGATTGGCTGCGCCCCGCGGGTGGGCGGCACCCTCGGGCGCTGACTGGCTGACGGCTAGCAGCGATCGTATTTTTTGTAGATATTGCATGATTGATCTAGATGTAAGTAGATAAATTTTGCAATGTAGTATAAAAGGGGTGCGCTCGGCAAATGCAATCAGTTCAAGATTTCAAGGGTTCCTGCGCGGGCAGCTCAAGATGCCACGCTCAAGAGGCAGGAAGCGGGCGGCTGAGCCTAGCACTAGTGGGTCACGCCGCCGTCCAGGCCAGCCTCTGACAGCAGAAGAGATCCAGCTCTTGCTGCAGGAAGACGACAGCGATCCTGAGGTCCGGTCAGAATCGGACGATGACAGTGACTGGGATTAAGAGCCGGAAGCTGTCACCGACTTCACAGAAGTGGACGGCGAGCCGCATCAAGCTGCCGCTGCTGCTGCAGGGACTCCCCGTCCCAGCGGCGATGGCCATGCCGTGGCTCCCAGCTCAGACAGCGAGGCATCGGAAGACGAAGCTGCTGACCGCCCGGCGGCCAACTTCACCCGGGTGGAGCAGGCTGGTGGCCAAGAGCTGTCAAGAACAGGGCGGGTGTGGACCACGGTGCCGCCCAATCACCGTGTCCGTGCCCGCCCAGGCAACATCATGCGCGGCAGCCCGGGCCCAAAGGGAGCGGCGAAGGACGTCAACATACCGAAGGACGCGTTCGGCCTCTTCCTTCCAGATAGCCTGCTAACGCAGATTCTGGAACGGTCGAATGAAGAAGGAGAGCGACTCGCAGCAGCAAGCAACCGCACCCACATCCCCGTGACGCTGATGGAGCTACGGGCCTTCATTGGTCTCGTTCTCCTGCGGGGTTGTGAGGGCGACCGCCGCTGCAAAATCGACGACCTGTTCTACGGGCCTTTCTCAAGGCCATTCTACAGGGCGACGATGACGAAGAACCGCTTTGTCTACATAAAGCGGATCCTCCGGTTCGATAATCGAGCCGACCGAGAAGAACGGCGCAAGAGGGACAAGTTTGCGGCAATCCGAGATGTCTTCTCGGATTTCAACAGCCGTCTGGCCAAGTTCTACACGCCGTCAGACTGTATCACCGTCGACGAGACGCTGCGAGCCTACCGTGGTCGGTGCGGCTTCGTGATCTACATGCCGAACAAGCCGTACAAGTACGGCCTGCTGTTCCGGGACGTAGCAGACGCCCGATCACGCTACATGCTGAACACCATGCCGTACGCCGGCAAGGCTGAAGATCCTGACCCTGAGCTCCACATCACCGGGGCGTCCAACGTGGTCCATCATCTGGTCCGGCCGTTCTATCGCACCGGCCGGAACGTGACCGCCGACCGCTTCTACAGCTCGGTGGACCTCTGTGAGGAGCTTCTCGCAGAGGGCCTCACCTACGTCGGCACGGTCATGGCAAACCGTCGACACCTGCCGGAGGACGCAAAGAAGACCGAAGGGAGAGAAGTTAACTCATCGAAGTTCTACTGGTCCGAGAACATCATGGTGACGTCCTACAACAAGAAGACCAACAAGAACGTGCTGCTGCTGTCGACCCAGCACGCCGAGCCGCTGGTCGCCGCTGACGGCAAGAAGAAGCCCGAGGTTATGTTGTTCTACAACGAGACCAAGGGCGGAGTCGACACGGTCGACCAGATGATCGGCACCTACACCTGCCGGGTGGCGACGCGGCGCTGGCCCTTGGCTGTCTTCCTGCTGATGCTGGACGTGGCGGCTCTCAACGGCTTGGTCATCTGCGCGGCATCCGGGTCCTTCTCGGACACCAAGCACGGCGACAGGAAGCTGTTCCTGAGGGAGCTCGGCCTCTCCCTGGTGAAGCCGCTGATCCTGCTTCGACCTGCTGAAGGGCTCACCATGAAGACAAGAGCAGCCATCGAGAACGTCCTGGGCAGCCGTCTACCGGCCCAGCCGCAGCCACGCCGAGAGCCCACCACCGCACGCGCCAGGTGTGCCACCTGCGTGGCAGACCAGCAGGGTGCCGGCTACAAGCGCAGTCGGCACACCAACGTGAACAAGGTGAAGTCGCGGTGCTGCAAGTGCACCATGCCGGTGTGCCGCAAGCACAGCAAGCGGAGCCTTCCTCTCTGCAACAGCTGTGACGCTGGCCCGTCCGGCGTGGAGTGAGCGGCAGTGGCTGGCAGGTGACGAGTCACACGTGTTGTGAGGTCACTTGTGATGATGTGTCTTTCATGATGTGTCTTTCATATGTGATGATATGTGATACATCGTTTGCTGTGAATTGATTGTTGGAAGTTGGAAATACACTTTTCTGAGTCGTTACCTACAGTATTTATAGCGGAGCAGTGGTCAACAGCCGACGAATCGGGACAAACACCGGAGGGTGATGTGACACCATATCACTCATCAGCAAAAGGCCTCTTACTTTTATAGGGTAAATACACCAAAAACACCATATATGATGCAGAATTGAGTGGGGAATACGTTGTTGAAGGTTTGAAGTTAATATCTCTCACCGTTTTGCCGCAATCGTTGCGCAAAGTTGAAAAAGTTTGATTTTTTTCGGAAAATTTGACTTTTGACCGGTCATAAGTAGGTCAAATGTTGACCTAGGACCAAAACATATACCACCAATCGCGAGATCTCGTTGAGAGCAATCCGTTGGTTTTTTCCGCTAAGCTCTACGACCTTCCGTTTCGAAACACCAGGGGGGGGGGGGTCGTAACAACCCCCCCCCCCCTGGTCGTTCGTGTTATGAGAAATGGCCTGGTCGTGCGAGGGTTAACCCGCGCCCCGTTGGGCTCTGCCGAGCAACGCGCCCGGTTGGGGGGGCCATTTTGGCCCCCCCCTAAGATCTCGAGAACCACGCAACATAGCGACAAGCGGTAAACGGCGTTGGATAGCCCCAACGGGGAACTACCTTGTGACCCAATTTTATTGACCTAGGTCAAACCGATGACGTCACAGGTCAGGTCAAAGGTCCAATTTTCACCGTTTACAGGCACTTCAAGAAATGCGTTGTTAAATCGAGTAAAATGCATTTAATTGAAAATCATCGATAGGGAAATGTTCTTCAAACACATATTTTGCTATTTGAGGTCACTGATACCAGGTCAGGTCACAGAGGTCAGGTCACGGGGGGGTCACAATATGAAAGTGTCGTGTGATACATGTTTTATGGTCCATTTTACATGACAAATGCGATTATATGGGTCAGGCAGCCTTTGGGACCAGCTAAGATCACGTTTTGGTCAAGTTCAGGTCAAGGTCAGGTCAAGGTCAGGTCAAATTAGGTCAAATTTCAAAGTTAATATTTTTGCATAAAATGGGTATCGAATCGATGCAGCTCGTCACGGGGAGTTCAATGGTGGTCTTTGTTTTGCCGTACGTGGTCTAGAATTGCTAAAAATTGAGTTCAAAAATTTGACGTCATCATTTTTGAACAGTTTTTTCGCTATAACTTGGCCAAAAAACGAGATATCGATCTGAAATTTGGTATGTATATAGAAGAGCGCTGGGACTATCACATATATTCCAGTTTTTCGAAATTCGGAAAAAATTTGGACTTTTTCAAAGTTTTTCTAAAAAAATCAATTTTTTTTAATATTTTTTGGTCAAAAACCAAAAACTTTGAAAATCCGAGATAGCAGTTTTGTAGCGCCGCTTTTTGTCTACTAGACCATATAAAGAACTTTGAAATTGCTTGATAACTGTAGATTTGGTGATCGTTTCAAGATTGCATGTTTTTTGCTCATTTTTGCTCGAACATGACCTCAGTTTGACCTCAATAACTCCTGACCTAAGGTGACCTAAGACTTGCAATTTGGTGTGAAGGTGTCAAATTGATGCCCGGGAAGGTACTGCAAATTTGGCGGCGCTGCGCGCCGCCGTTTTCTTGCTATTCAGGAAAAACCACAGGGGGGGGGCCAAAATGGCCCCCCCCAACGGGGCGAGGGTTAAGATAGAGCAAAAAGAAAAGCACCAGTGAACTCAGCACGTCAAGGCGCGTCGAATGATATACTTTTTAGCTTGCTTAAGTGTACTTAAAGTTTTTCTTATTTTTTAAGTAAACTTTAACCCGCGCGGGGCTGGGGGGGGGTAAATTTTACCCACCCTCGCGAATTTTTGCGATATCTCAAAAACGGCGGCGCGCAGCGCCGCTAAACTTTCAGTACCTTTTCTTACATCAATTTGACACGTTCCCTGAAAATTTGAGCGAAATCCGTCGGAAATTTTTTGAGAAATTGACGTTTAAGTGACGTCATGTTCGCCATTTTCGCCTCAAAAACGGCAAAAGTTCAAACGCCGCTAACATCTTCATTTTTAAAGGAATCAAGACGTAACAAAAAAGGTTATACGTAATTTTACTTTGTCTATCAAATGGCCATCTCGGTTTTTTGAAAATTTTGGATTTTGGCCTAATTTTTTTTTTCAAAAAACTGACTTTTTTGAAAAAATCATTATAAAATCCAAAATTTTGAGTCTATAAAAAAAACCGGCATATATGTCAGAGAAGTGGTCTATGTGCACCTACATACCAAATTTTAGAAGAATCGGTTAAAAAATGTGGGAGTTATTCGAAATTTTATGAGGTCACGACACACAATTTTTTTGAAAAATGACTTTTTTGGAAGTTCTAGACCTCGTACGGAAACAAAAATAGCACCATTCGATTCGCCGTGAAAAACTGCATCAGATAGACACCTTTTTAGGCCTTAACAACCAACTTCAAAATTTGACCTCACTTGACCTGACCTTGACCTGACCTCGACCTGAAATTCATCCAGAGGGGGTCCATATCACTTATTGAGTGTGCCTATTGAATTCTATGAGTAAAATGACCCATAAAACATGTGTCGCACATGCCCTTTTCTATATTTTGTTTTTTGGTGACCTGACCTGACCTGACCTGACCTTAACCTTGACCTCTGAATGATAATGTATGCAACGAATATTGTCTTGGTAGCCTAAGAACACGCTTTGGGCGATCAGTCTCAGTCCATGACTCCATTCTTCGGCAACTACGGTGCAAGGCCGATACTGTAGAAACTTGCAATTTGTACCCTTGACCTGACCTTGACCTTGACCTCAAACTTTAAATTAAGTACATGTTTTTAGTAGTTCGTGATGAGAGCTTTCGATTGGCGTTTGAATTTTCCAAATCGGACCATTAGTTCGGGAGATAACAGGGGGGGGGGGTAAAATTTACCCCCCCCCCCAGCCCCGCGCGTTCGGCTGGAGACCCCAGCCCCGCGCGGGTTAATTAATCAATTAAGTTCAAGTTAACCAAATAGCAACATATCGCATATCATTCGATTCGGCTGATCATCAGGAACACAATGACACCATTTTTTTAAGCTCTAGCGCCATTATGTGCCAAGTTATTGGCAAAAACGTCATTTGACCTCAGTTGACCTCATTTGACCTGACCCATGGATAAATACAGCAAACAAAGAAGAACCAAGTGACCTGCTGTTAAGTACTGTGGTTTCAAAGCACAAAAGTGATAGAACGAAGCGGATGTCTCCAGTATTTTCCGAATTTAGTATTTTCCCATAGGCTTAACATTACGACGTAATGACCTCTAACTGACCTCAGGTCAGTGACCTCAAAAAACCCGAACTATATGTTATACAACTCGGTGAACATAGCACACCCTGAAAGTTTGAAGGAAATCAGTCCAAAACTGTGAGCTGGACAGGTGCAAAAAGAAAATTGAAATTTGACCATGACCTTGTACCGGTTTTTCTGACCTGGTGACCTGACCCAAGGTCACCCGGACCTGAAATTTTTAGGTCATATGTAAAAAGGTTGCCCCATAGGCTGTGCCAAATTTGGCGGCGCTGCGCGCCGCCGTTTTTACGGTTTCTTCGAAAAACCTTAGGTAGGGGGGTCGCATCGACCCCCCCTGCCAGGGCGAGGGTTAAAACCCTCGCATGTGTAGGGGGGGTCGGATGGACCCCCCCCCATGGTTTTTCGCGAATAACTCGCGTATAAAGCGTCCGATCGCGACGAAACTTTCAGTACCCTCACATTGATTAATTTTACACCTACCCTGAAAATTTCATGACCCTGAACCAAATGACCTTTGACCTGTGACCTCTTTTCCGAGACCATGTTTGGCCGGAATCGCGATTTCGCGTATGTCGGCTCGCACTAGCCGCGTGTTTGCAAGCTTTTCGTGGTTTCAAACGTTCAAACATGTGATTTGATGTTACTCCCGTGTGTGTCAAGGTCACCTGAAGGTCAGGTCAGGTCATTGACCTTTGGTGACCTCGGGTGACCTCGGGTCACTTTTTCGAGTTTTACATGTTTCTAGTCTAGTTTTTGGAGCTGAATTCGAATTTAGCAACCATTTGAACATTTACGAAGTAGTTTTGGTGACTTCGTTACATGTTGCGAAGCTGTCAGAGGCGGTTGACACGTACTACGAATACCCGTCACGACGCCTACTGGTTGACCTGACCTGACCTGACCCGACCTGGTCTAAATGCTTCAAGACATCATCTGTGATCAAAACTAACACGATATTCGTGATCAGCACCCCGAAAAACCCCTTAGCAGCCACACTTTACGACTTTCTAACAGGTCCCGATTTTCCCGACTTTGGGTCATTGACCTGACCTGGAAGGTCAACCAATGACCTAGGACCTTAAAATTGGGTATCATCGGCTTCCTCTCGTCACGGGCAACACGCTCGTTTTTTCCGCGAAGCTCTAACTCGATCAGGGGCCAAACGGCAAGGGGGGGGTCCAACCGACCCCCCCCCCCTACACATTAGAAGCTGGCAAACGCCGCACACATGCGAGGGTTAAATTGCATCGAACGTTCGACATGAGCAACACCGATGAATCGGTCGTGGTCATAAACGTGCAGTGGGTTCACGGTAGGTGCTTTTAGCAGCAAGCAATATTCACATGTTCGGTATAACATAATGACCCTTAAGCTGGTGACCAAACTCGTTATTCTGATGAATATGCGCTTAAAATGTGCTTCATTAGTCACTGACTTAGTCGATAATCAACACATGTCTACCTTGGTTGACCAACAAACACCATTGAAGGTTACTTAACCCTCGCCGGCCGAGGGGGGGGGGGCGGCACCCATAGGGTTTTTTCGCGATAGCTCCGAACACGTCGGCGATAGAGAGCTGAAACTTGGCATAC